GACTGAGTGTGCTTAAAGAAAAGACAAGATAGTAAACCGCCAAATTAAATGACCGTCAATATTATATTTAGGCAGTTTTGATGCAAAACCGCCAAAGTTTTAGACCGCCAAATTTTCCGGCTATATGGTATGTGGAATTTTTGAAGGAAAGAAAGTTTAGTGATATTAGCAATTTGATAACCATTTACCAAATAATTGCATAATTACATGTGCATGTTCAATGGCTCCTGGATATTAATTTAACAAATCAAAATAATTAAACCAGCTAATCACCAAAATTTATGACAAAAATTAATAATAATGATAATTGTTTTTCTTTCTTTTAGAATCAGACTGTCTCAAGGACTTTACTTCTCATTGCTAAACTATTCAAAATTTAGGAAATGTCGGAGCAAGAGTAAAATAATAATCTGAGAGGAGTGAGAGAGATAAAGATACGTGCATTATTTATTTACATGTTTACTTCATTTTTTCTTGATGAAAGAGTCAATGTATTTCATTCCACTTCTTTCTATAATAAAAATGTAATAAAACATAAATATCCATTCTTGGTAATATACATGTACATAATAATTACATACAGTGTAATTAATACCTTTAATCTTCATTTCTCCTTCTCTCTCATTAATCATTATGTTAAGTGTTTCTTCATCATTGCTGGACAATAAATGTTTACAAGGTCCAGACACTTTTGTAGACACTGACACCAAATCTCAGACAAACCAAGAGACTAACAAAAATTTTTTTTAATTACAACAATAATTATTATTAACTTAAATGTACAGTATACAATGTATAAAGCATGTACAGTTTACATGTACATGTATTTTAATAAAAAGTTCACAACTTAAAGGTACATGTACAGATGAGACAATTTAAGAAATATTTAAAATAATAAAAATTTAACAAAATGAACCCTCTCTTCTTCCCCTCTCCCTCCCGCCCCATTACCTTATTACTATCAGTTGATGTGCTACTCATTGAACTGGTAGGAGATGGTGACACTATCCCTCCTCCTCCTATAGTACGAGAGGGAGATGAAAGAACTGGTTTGGCTACTGACACATTCTGTGATTGATAAGTTGAGAACTCAGTGAATATAAGTGGATTAAATTTAGGCAACTTTAAAAATTTGTAAAAATTTTAAATTTAATCGTAATCGGCTCAAACTTTCTATACAACATAAGTACATGTACATGTACATGTATATGCATCAGAAAATATTATAAAAGTAAAAAACTCTCTACTTTTCAATTTTGGCAAAATTTGGCAAAAACTCTGTATTATAGTACAGGGACTTTGACCATAGATAATAGTATCTTATTATCAATTTTTGAGCAACTTTAAAAATTAATAAAAAATCTAATTTTGATCGGAATAAACTCTATGCATCATAAAATGTAATAAAAATGAGAATTCTCTACTTTTCATTTTTGACAAAATTTGGCCAACGACCCTGTACAGGGACTTTGGCCCAATTTTGGAGCAACTTTAAAAATTAGTAAAAAATCTAATTTTGATCGGAATCAGCACAAACTTTCTACACAGCATGAAAACATTAATGCATATTGGTTACATAGGAGTAAATAAATAATCAGCTTTAACTTAATCGCTTATAATCAAATTAATAGGTGACTGCAAATATCAATGTATAGCAGCTTAGCAGTTTACAATGAAGAAGCATTGCAAAACGTATGCAAATATAATGTGACAATAAAAAATGAATAATTTCGCTAAATCAAAATAAAAATTTTGATAAAATACAACAAACTATAGTAAAGGGAGTGGCTGGTTGTATAGAGAAGAGAGGGTCCATTACAAGCAGGAGGAAGAGAAGTATTATCTTCTGGTTCAAACACCACATACCAGCAACCTCCTACTGTAATGTCACAGTTCTCATTCTGCCCTACTGACAACAGATACTAAACAACAAGAGAGAATTTAATAATCATATATGAGTATCAATTTTGTATGTGTAGTATCAGCTATTACAAATAGAGCAAGGCAACTTCAATATAAGACGAAACACTACAGCTGTGTCTATAAAATATTAGCATAATTGGTATAAGTCTATCATGGGTTGTACTTATAATCATATTCATTAGTTATATTACAAGTACAT